CTGTGGACCTGGCACCGAGCAAATCAGACGAGCTTTGAGGAATGTCGTCCATTTATTCACCAGACTTCTGTGCCCCCCGAAGTCATTCTGAAAGGACAAAACACTGGTTTTGGGGACTTTGCATGCAAAAGCTAATCTCAAATATTTCTCTTATCTTGAGATAGGTTCATAATACAATTCCTCATATTTCAAAATGAGGAATCAGGAAATTTGAATGACATGATACAAATACCTGTGCTTTTTAAATCATATTGCTGGTCAAATTTATTCACTCAAACTTTATTCAAGGAATGACTTACAATAAATTTCCCTTAGCATTAAAAAGTCACTTTTTCCATTCTCTTACCACTCTTCAGCAAACAATTATTACTGTTGTTTTCGTTTTGGTTTAGTTTCAATGTCTCTCTCTTATATATGCCTTTCTTAAGATCTTACTTAACTTGGTTCACAGTAGTGAATACATTGGCACATAGTAGGTACTTAATAAGTATGTACTGAGCCTGGCCTGGGGCTTAGTGGTTGAATGTGAACTTTTGACCCAGGAGCTCAGGGTACATGCCTGGTTTTGGGGCTCAATCCCCAGTAGGGGGCATTCCGGAGACAGCCTCTTGATAAATCTTTCTCATAATTGATGTTTTTATTTCTCTCTCTCTCTCATCTTCTCTTTAAAATCAATTAAAAATATATTTGAAAAAAGTATGTACTGAATGAAAGAATAAATGCATGCTTTATAACCTATCCTGAAAATACATCACAAAAAAGTATGCTAGCACTGAATATAAGTTTAAACGGTTTAAGTAATGATGACTTTATCAATAGCACATTGAAAAAATATTTGCATAAACCTTAATAAAGGAAACTCATTCCAGAGATACATTTTGTAAAAGTCCCTTCAAAAATATAATGATTTATATTTTGTTTATGTGATTTTATATACTATAAATATTTTTAAACTCATGTAAGTAGTGCTTTTAAATATATATTTTGTGAAGAAAAGATTCTCATATGTTTTACATACTATTTCTGTTTCCAGATTTTTTAAAAAATTAATTTTTAAATAATTTCTATACTAGAAGTAAATAAATGGATCATGATTGAGGTAAGAAAGAGGCTAACCTACCTTCCCAAACAGAGATTATTAAAATGTCATGTTATTTTCTTAGAAAGAATTCCCTGTTAAGGCAATTACTGGACTGGCTTTGTGAGTCTCCTGAGATGAAAGTTGCTTTAATATATAATAACAGTTGACTTTGTCCATATTGCACATATATTGTACTATACAGTGGTAGAGGGGAAATTAGTACCATTATCATATCTTCACACTGATATTAATCAAACCATAAGTATCTATCAATTTTTATTATACATATCTAACATTATAATGCCATATTACATTTAATTTTGTGTCATGCAGTAAATAATTACTCAGATCAATTTCAAAGTTTAAAAATTATGTATGTGCATAGGTACATAGAATGTTATAATAATCAATTTATAAAAAAAGATTTAATACTTTTATATTAATACCTTAGTTATCCTAACAACAAATATTCATTAAAAAATTATATAGTATAGGAAAGTGTGCTAGGTCTGAGGATACAAAAAAGTATATATTCTTCTAGGTAATATAAAAGACTTATTTCTCTAGAATTTCAAACTAAGACCACTTAATATAATTTTGAATCAATGCCTCACAACCTCTGCTTGCTTGTTTGACTATGAAGAGTTACTCATAAACAATGATATGTTTTCAATTAATTTTTACCATTTACATATTTATAATGATAATTCAAGTATTGTAGTCAGATTTTTCATTGCATTTGCACATAGGAGGAAATAAGAAATAAAATTGTGATTCAACAGTATCTTCCTCAATTTATTTTTCTTTACCTCACCTTGCATATCTGACCTATTCTAGCATGAGTGGCTTTTCCAGTGTGTTCTCCGTCTATCGCATTTTCACGGAAGAAAAAATATACTTTGTCATCTTCAGGGTTGTCACTCTCTGGGATGAGGTGGGCACTAATGAACCTTGGATCTGAGAGACAAATTATAGGATATATATGAATTCACATTTGGATGGATAATACCATTTATTATAGTACATTTTCACTTTCTTTTAACTCCTATTTGATATATTTCAAGAACTAATCTTTGCTTAGTTCACTTTTTCCAGTATTTGTAAACCATTCCTTTTTTCAAGTGACAGTTGACATTTAATATTATTGTATATTAGTCTCAGGTATACAGCATAGTGGTTAGACAATAATATAATTTACACAATAATTCTAGTATACACCTGGCACCATACACCGTTATTCAATATTATTGGCTGTATTTCCTATGATAAACTTATATCCCATGACTACTCTGTAACTGCAAATGTGTCCTTCTTAATTCCTTCACCTTTTTATACCAAGGTCTCCAACCAGTCTCCCCTAAGGCACCAGAAGTTTGTTCTCTCTGTCTATGAGTTTGTTTCTGTTTTGTTTGTCCATTCTTTATGTATTTTAAACTATGTTACAAGTTACCTTATATGTAATAAAAACATTCATTATTTTTTTCCTAGAAAGTTAGGACTAGTTGCAGAAATCAGCAGTGTGACCACACAGTTCAAATGCATTACTGGATAAAAAAAAATTGGCAAACTTTAAGTGCTATCTAATATTACTTATTGCCATCACTGCTGTTATTCTGCGTTTCAAGCATAAGATAGTCTAAATCAAACTTCTATTCATCTATTCCAGTTTCCAGCAAAAATTAGGTAGGAGGGGAGAAATGAGATCCACATAATACAACAATAAAACATAAATCCTGTCATGTTGTTTTCATCTTGGTGAACAGAAATATCATTTACCAGGCACTCAAGGCAAAAACCCTGGAGTCACCCTTGAGTCCTATCTCTCATGTTCCACATTCTATCAGCCCATCCCTATTTTCAGCATTTCCTACCACATCCTTTAAGACCTGCCCCTCCCAGACCACCATTGCCAGCAATAGACACCTTATAGCCTCTTGGATCCTACTTTACCAACTTTGGCCCACGTCTCCACACAGCAGCCAGCGTGAACCTGTGATATGTCACTTCCCTCTCTAAACCCTCCTGTATCTTTCTGAACCACTCACAGTGAAATATTAATTCTTATAGCAATCAGAAGCCCTATATGATCCAGCCCCTGCTTTCTTTTCTTCAACCTACCCTTCCGTCCCTAAGTCACTCCTAGTCAGCCATGCCTCCCCCTGCGGGTTCTCAAACAAGGCAAGCACTCTCAGTCCTGCCTCAGATCATTCTTGGCTGGTATCCCTCTGCCCTCCTATATCCTCAAGTGTGGGTTCCTACTTCTACTCAGGTCTTTGTTCAAATATTACATTATCCAAAAGCCCCTTGTTGATTACCTTCTTTAAAAGCATTGAAATCCTTACTCCAGGGCTTTTTAAAAAAATAAACAAACTTATTTTCATTCATTATTTTTGTTCCTAAGATGGTTCATTGTCTGCTATTAAACAGCTCTCTGCCTCTCTCTATATCTAATACTAGAGGCCCGGTGCATGAAATTTGTGCACTTGGGGGGAGGGAGGTCCCCCAGCCTGGCCTCTGCCCTCTCACAGGGTGGGAGCCCCATGATTGATTGCCCCAAAGAGGTAGGCCAGAGCTGGAGGTCCCGCCCCTGCCCC